GGAATGGTGCGTTGTCACAAATCAGCAGACACCTGTAAGTAACAGCAGCGCCGTTGGCATCAAGCATTCACCGCAACCACTGCGCACAACGTTCCTTGTTGTAACTCCCCCTTAAGACGGTATATTCCAAACGTCCATCTACGGTCATTGCCTCGATAAGGTGAAGATTTTGTCCACGAGTGCTGGCTACACTGCATTGCGCACGTGTGCCACATGCTGAACGCCCCCTTGTGGGAGCGCAAAACAGATGCAAATTCGTCTCATCAATCCAAACGGGTTGCCACCCTTCAGCTTCAAATTTCCTCAGCTGCAAAACATAAGAGTTCCTTCGTCTCTTGTTCTCAAACGTATTCATTGATTCCGGTACAGCATGTGGCTTTTTCATGGTAATGAGGCGATCCTCTAGACACCTAGCTACTGTGCTGACGCTCACCTCTACGTTGAGCTCTACTTTCAATCGAAAACAAAGACACTAAGGTTATGGTAGGCTCCGCTTCGACCCATTCCACCAGATTATCCACGTGAATGTCAGTCAATGATTTTCGACGTGCCCCGCCACGTTTTCCATGTGGTTCGTTTGATTCTAACGGTTTAATCCAACTTCGGCAAGTCTTCAGGTTGACATTTAACACGGATGCAAACTGCTTCCAGTTATCACCTTCTGCATAGGTGTTCAATATCCTCGTCTTAACCTCCGCCGGATGGCAACTGCGTGGGCCTCCACTTGACATTATATCTAGAGTGAACTAAATGATGTTAAGTTGCACCGTATGATTACCTACGTGTAATGTTCGCGCTGCGCCGAGGTAATATGGAGACGGGTTCAAAAGAAGACGTACGAAGAAGCCAAACTTGTGAGCAACAACTACACTGGTTTATATATATATATATATATATACATATATATATATATATATATATATATATATATAGAGAGCTCGTATTGGCCAATCTAAGTGCACCAACGGCGCAGAGCGGTAATAGATGGGCCACGAATAGAGCGCAGACGGCCTTCGTTGCAAGGTTAGGGCATTCAGTATCGCAAACGTGGAAAAATGGGGCATCCGATAGCAAAGACAGAAGATACCGTCGCTGCCAATATGCTCATTGAGGTCAGGACATATCTGTAGGCACCGATCGCCACTGCCTGTTTGGCACGCATGCAACCCGAAACAGCATTCCAGTTGTTGTTCAGAGTCCGAAATTCGACCCACTAAGTCATTTCTGTAACCAGTAACCATCACAGTCTCAGTAGTTCCTGGTGACGATAAAAGTGGTCCTTCATACCCTCCGAACTTCAGTCACTGGGGTCATAAACAGAAGCGTTGAATATGTATGATAGGTTTTGTCCCAAATAAGTTCGAACAAGATTTATCAAACGGTGCAATTGAATCGGTATGTCCAAATGCTGCTTTTAACTCTTTGTTTGTCTGGTGTTGCCTGTTTACTTCTTGGATCCTATATTTCGCACTATGTACTGCTCATATTCGTGTAGTTTCTGGTGCAGCAGCATTCATTATTTTATTGACAGCATACAGATTGTATTGTTTCGTCTTTGGGTGAGGTGTGGTCAAGATATCGCAAATGCACTGAAGATTTATTTTGGTAATTTCCGTATTAAGACACACTGCAAGGACTTGCGTGTTAATGAATCATGCTGTTTACATCACCGTAATAAGGATAGCTCTATTAAGATACCAGCTCTCAGAAAATCTGTAACAATAGCGACTTCGGTAGCTGGCACCGACAGTTAACATAGTAATAATAGAACTGACAATCCAAACGTGCATTGTTCTACGCACTCTAATTTTTATCTACTTAAAATCATCAATAAAAAGATGGTGCAATGAGCATGGTAAGTAAACTCACTTAACCACTTCAACTTCCCTCGTTGCCACACCGATGGTAACCTACGGTCGCGGTGGAGATTATGAGCTGGCGTAAGTGAATGTATTAATCTCAGCGGTCAGTTAACGTAGCACCGTTAAACAGGTAATTGTGTGTTAGTACCGTTGTAACCACCCATACTATCAGTTTTGACACCGGATCAGTACCCAGATGATTAAAGATGGCTCTACAGAGCATAAATGTTTCATGTTCTAATCAACCGGCCATCTTCTATCCAATTAGTATAGGGCTGTTGTAATGAATGTGTATTTACAGAAAAATAGTGCGTGCAACCGGGGTGGCGATTATTACCCTCTTTACCTCGCGTTCATGGTTTTTAACAGTGTAGACATTGGTCTTCCTCGGCATTATGGAATTGAGACTACCCTGTCTATACATTGTGGCAGTGGTTAGGAACTCGAAATATACAGCAGTTACAGGCAATTTACTACGGAATATTACGCGCTAAACATTAAAAACGACATAGTTGCTTATAAAGTAAAAAGTAAGACCGTAATTTAAGCGTTGTTAAATAACAGTTAAATTAGTTAAGCACCATCAACCATATGTCAAAATACTGACCTGATTAAATTTGTTCACTTGAAGTTGTAACAATTATTAATAAAAGTAATGGGGTCACAAGTGATAAACCTCCTACTCAATAGAGGAGATTTCAGTGATTTGGAAATTGCTAAAATTAGTATGCATAATTTTCTCGAATTCCAACACGGAATTTGCTCTTACCATGCGCTCTGCCAAACTGCCGACTGCGTACACTACTCGAAATTCCGAGGGCAATTGGTAGGCAATTCAGTTGTATTACTATTAGATGCTTGTGCGGCTTCCACGTGTGACGCGCACCACGTGCAATTGTAGCGGGTGATTAAGTACCCGAATATACAGAGACATATTTATTGCAGTTCATGAATTACTAATGATAAAGTAATAGTGTATATACACGCTTTTACACATGGCACACCAAAGAAGGCAAGATCAGTAGACAAGTACCAGATACTAGCGCAGAATGCACCAAATTAATTTAGCACGCCTGTTTTCTTACCGCACCGGCAGCTGTCGGAGCACTAGATGTGAGCGTAGCCGCAACGTCTGAGATTCGTTTGGCCTTTTACACCTTACTCGGTGTTGCCATGCAGCTAGCTGGCAATTCGTACACTAGTATTGCATTTGGATGGACGAAAGGCAGATGGTTACCAATCCAGAAAAAGTGCAGAGGCTGTATTTGATGGCCCAATACATGCGCATTCTGTTCTGACATTGCCTGCTCTTGTTGTCCTCGGTGTGCTTATTGCCACTTAATACTGCGCCTGGATGCTTCATTGAAAATTTGGAATGTAGTGATTGGCAGTCGAGAGCTTTGTTTAAGCCATCTCAATTTTTTTCAGGGATAACGAGCATCAAATCCAGTTAGTTAAACGAAAAAAATTATCTACAAAATCACTGGAAAATATAAGTGCCACATTTCAACTAGACAGAGTAGTCGCATCTCCTCAATCGTAATAGCAATATATATCGGGGAATTATCTTAATTCGGACATATAATCTTTACGTATGCTCTAATTTTTCACCTCCCGACTCGACAGACGAGATGGATTTCATTTTATTTCGTTTGACACACTTTTTCTCGAGTTGCAGCGACCTAGAACCAACCTAGTCAAATGCATCTTCACACTTCTAAGCGGCGCTCTCCCTTTCACGAATACTGAATGAGACACAAAATGATCATACAAGTAGATTCACTAACAGCTACAACGCCACGTTTCTGCAATCATTAACGTGGGTTAACCAAGGAAAGTTGCAGCATCACATGTGGCATTCTCAGCAAATAAATGTATTGGTTAGGCTATATTAGTGCACAGAAAATGGGAGTATGGGCCAACATATTGCGGCGCTTAACACAAAACAAATCATCTTATAGTTCAGCATACACGCTTGGGAATCTGCGCATAGCTCGGACAAAAACCGACCGGAAGGGGTCAGCCTTGGGTTACAGCAAAGCTAGCCTGCAGGTAACATTCCATTCATCAGCACACCCCACTACCTTTGTCAGCTGCAAACCCTACCTTGTAATCGGAAGAATATTCATATTAGTCTTTTGTAGTACTTTAGGAACCTTATCGATATTATATTTTCATTGTTCATATATTTACATATCGGGTTTTGGTACCCTAATCATTCACCTAATGGCTATTAACTTGATGCTGTAGTTCCTTTCCACACCTAAACATTTCATCACCACCTAAAAGCGGCAGTGAAAGTCGCGGGGCATAATAATCGCTCATCCCATTTCAATTCTTCCGCATACATAACATATGGTTGTAAACTAGACTGAGACCGGTGTGGATCATCAACCATGAGGCCAATCGAGTGTACCTATCTCCTCCTGGTTTGTATTATTCAGGTGGATATATAATGCGGATATGCATAGTATCCTCCACGTTGTAGTGTCAGCCTTCATTCAGTTATTCACAATTTTCATTCACAACTACAGGTATAGCAATGTTTGTCTAGTTGGAAGTCCAGGTACTTTCGTATCTCACACCTGGAGTAGGTTGCAATAGATATGTAAAAGAAAACATGTAGACCTAAGCGGCTGTAAATAAAGCTAAAACCGTTGCATTACACAGTACTTCAGGGACATGCGTTCATCCTATTTTGATGTAAAATACGCACTCATGTCGTTGATTAACTCACATGAGTATCGACCAGTCAATGCCAATTAACAAAATCAGTTACACCTGCCTCCCATTAGCTAGCAGGCTAAATCGGTAGACCCGTCTGTTCACTCTGTTATGGCGCTCTCATCACAAAACCATTTATTGCGAACGAGTTACGCCGAACAACATATCCAGCTCCTGCTGATAAGCCCACACCAGAAAACAGCCTCAAGGAAGCAAGACAGACACAAGCAACCACGCGCACGACAAAGTGTTTGCAGCTAAGGTCAGTCTAGGCAGGAAAAGCGCGGACGTCCATGTGAGGCAAAAATATCATCGGCCATGCGTTATGTTATCTGTACTTGTGGTGACCTTAATGACACAGAATATGCATTGACATTTCATAAAGAAGGACATAGTTCCTATTCCTAGTATTTCCTAAACACCTCGAATAAATTCGAGCACAAAGACGTTACAATGGATCTGTTCCATCTTGGTAACCTTGTCGGAATCACGTTGTACACACTGATAGACTCCGGTGGATGAATCATCCAATTTGGGAATGTGTAAAATAGAACTGGCTCCGGAAGATCGTTGTGATAACGCAGCTCGTCCGTTGTGATACCAAAAGAGAGGGGACGGCTCAGAGCCGAGGCAAGTAAGATCTACGGCAGTGGAGCGTTTCTGTTGAACTGCCATGGGAGTGACCGTAACCCAAGGTCGAGCGTTTTCTTAGTGCACGCTCTAGGAGGGGAGTACTGTAGCGATTGTAAATAATTTGCTTATTTTGCATTTTCACGTTTACCTATTTCGCTGCAGTTGTTGTACAGCTTTGTTTTAATTAACTGTATATACATACACTTGGTTACGCGCTCGCCTTCCGTGGTTCTTCCTTGGTTGCCGCTGGATTGTTGTGATTGTGCGCATCGCTGCCTGCTTGGTTCACGATCGGACTCTACGTACACGTACATTTCGGCATACCTCGGGATTTACGGCCGTCCGACGCTAAGGTGCATCAGGATAATTTATATGTGAGGTAAGCCTGATTGACTTGGTATTATCCTTTATCAGTTCCTCCATAGACCCGTCTGTTCATTCTGTTATGGCGCTCTCATCACAAAACCATTTATTGGGAACGAGTTACGCCGAACAACATATCCAGCTCCTGCTGATAAGCCCACACCAGAAAACAGCCTCAAGGAAGCAAGACAGACACAAGCAACCACGCGCACGACAAAGTGTTTGCAGCTAAGGTCAGTCTAGGCAGGAAAAGCGAGGACGTCCATGTGAGGCAAAAATATCATCGGCCATGCGTTATGTTATCTGTACTTGAATAGTCCAAACATGAACGAATCGTGTGGCCACTAGCTTGGGCCTGGAAACTATCCTGCATCGCAATTAGTCTGCATAACTATGGGGAACTGTAAAATGAATAATATGAAAAGTAACCAAAGGGCATGAGCTAGATAAAATCCGAAAGCACACTGGGCAATAACGAACCATCCAGCAATGTAACGCCTTTTAACTGCACATACATTATGTTGGTGACCTTAATGACACAGAATATGCATTGACATTTCATAAAGAAGGACATAGTTCCTATTCCTAGTATTTCCTAAACACCTCGAATAAATTCGAGCACAAAGACGTTACAATGGATCTGTTCCATCTTGGTAACCTTGTATTGACCTGGAGATTCCCCTGTTTGGCTGCCGCATGCTGCGTAAAATATTACAAAATCGCAAAATTATATTTTCTCGATGTACATAGCAAAATAGTCGCTCGCCTGTTTGAACGTTGCTCGCGTTTGTTTGAGTCAACATAGCATCCGCCTTCGAAAGGCGCGACGCTCATCGGTTCCGCGGCCATCGCTGCTCTCCGCGCACGCGACCACACCTTTCCCTCAGCTAGCTATCATCCGGTGCCTTATTTTTAGCACTAGATAGCGTTTCGCCCACTTACTAAATTTTTCCTAGCGGTAATTTGGTGTTCTCCACTCATCGGAGGTTGGCATTATATTTGCGTATTGGTTCTAAAGCGTACCGATCCTGCTGCTCGCTTTATTGGTGACGCCCGACTTTTGGTCATTATCCGGTGAGTTTTCGCTAACCTATCTTCTCAGATTTGGCCACATCTTTTTTCGCTAACCCGTCTGATTTTCACTTTTCATTTTCCGGGTTAATCTCGCTGGCTCGCTATTTTGCTCGTTATGGAAACCGCTCCCGTTGATTCTGACGCTCAGATCGGCACAGTTACGCTTCCTATCTCACCTTTTCGCGAGACTAATCCTAAGTTGTGGTTTGGTCAGCTAGAGTGGCACTTTTTTTGCCTGTTATTAGATCCGAAAAGACCAATTTCTACCTTGTCGTTTCCGCGCTTCCGCTAAACGTCATTGATGACATTGATGACATCCTAGATCTTCCTGACGACCAAAAGACTTACGATGCGGTTAAGACAGCTGTTCTGAGGAGCACAGGCTTATCCGATCGACAAGGAGTTATGTAACTCCTCAACGAAACCGATCTTGGCGATCTTAAGCCATCTCAGCTGCTTCGAAAAATGCAGAGTCTAGCTAAATCCACTTCGAAAGATGATTCCTTTCTTCGAGAAATGTGGTTGCAACGACTTCCGCGCGAGATGCTACACATCCTCTGCGCTAGTGAGGATGCACCTTTATCCAAACTCGCCGATACAGCCGACCGAATTTGGGATTCGTACGGCCAGGTTTCGCAGGTCCAGACTAAACTGGACGACGATATCGCCACGCTTAAATTCCAGATGGAAACATTGACTCGACAATTCGCAGCATTTTCGGCTTCCAGACATAACCGCTGTAAATGCTATAGGAGCCGTTCGCATTCACGTCCGAACTCTCCTTCGCGATGACCGAATAGGAAGTGTTACTGCTGGTACCACGACCGCTTCGGCCAGCAAGCTAAATCATGTCGCCCGCTCTGTTCCTTCAAACGACAGCAGCAGGGAAACGGGCGGACCAGCACGTAGGTGCGACGGACGTAGCTGGTCAACGCAGTCGCATTTTCTTCGTCACCGATCATAGAACCGGATTTCGCTATCTCGTCGATACTGGCGCAGAAGTCAGCGTTCTCCCGCGTGATTCAAACGACCCGACCGAAAAGGTGACTAACTTATTGCCCGCAGCTAACGGGACCATTATCCGTGTATATGGCCAACGCTCGCACACGCTAAATCTCAGCCTCCGACGCGCTTTCAAATGGATATTACTCGTTGCGGATGTTCAAAAGCATATCCTTGGTCTCTACTTCTTAGGTCCTTACGACCTACTCGTCGACGTTAAGCGACACCGTCTAGTCGACCGCCTTACGAATCTCGCATTCATTGAGACTTTGACCGACAACGCGTCAATCAGTCCCATGTAGGCGACTCAACTTAGTTCACCCGTCGGGCGAACGCCGCTTGATAGTTTTCCGCAGGCCTTCCGTTCTGCCGTCCCATTGCCTTCTGCAACCGATGCCGCGACACATCACATCGTTACGAAAGGTCGGTCTGTGTTCGCAAAAGCCAGGCGCATGACCCCCGACAAACTCAAAATTGCACGCTCCGAAGTCGAGCACATGCTAGACAGGAATTATTCGCCCGTCTAAGAGCCCGTGGACGTCACCTCTACACATGGTGCCTAATAAGCTAGGAGGCTGGCGTCCATGTGGCGACTATCGCGCCCTCAATAACGCGACCGTCCCCGACCGCTATCCGATTCCGCACATTCAGGACATCACGGCTAGCCTACGTGGCGTCCGTGTGTTCTGGAAGATCGATCAGATTCGCGCTTACCACGAGATGCCTGTAGCCGAGGACGACATTCCGAAAACCGCAGTCCTCACGACTTTCGGACTTTTCGAATTCTTGCGAATGCCCTTCGGTCTTCGTAACGCAGCTCAGACTTTTCAACGCATCGTAGACTCTGTCACGAGAGATCTCGACTTTGTTTATCCTTATATAGACCACATCTTAGTAGCCAGTTCTTCCGAAGAACAGCACGCGGAGCACCTCAAGATGCTTTCCGAGAAGTTAGCCACTAATAGCATTACTGTCAACGCTGACAAATGCATCTTTCAGCAACCATCTATCGAATTTCTTGGTCATCGAATTGACCAGCATGGCATACGACCGCTCGAAGACCGAGTCAGCGCTATTAAGGACTTTCCCGTTCCGACTACTTTGGCCGCCATCCGCCGTTTTAGTGGGATGATCAACTACTACCGTCGATTTATGGCACGTTGTGCCGACTTGCTCAGTCCATTGACCGACTTACTTCGTGGACGCAAGAACGGCAACGTCGAGTTGATGCCCGCTGCAACCGAAGCCTTCACGGCCTGCAAAGAGGCCTTGGCTGAAGCCGTTATGCTTCACCATTTCGACCCCACAGCTCCACTCAGCGTTGCAGTTGATGCATCGGACACCGCCAATGGCGCCCTCCTGCAGCAATCCACTGAGGGATGTTGGAAACCACTCGCTTTCTACTCCCGACGCTTACAACCGGCAAAGGTCAAGTGCAGCGTGTTCAGCCGCGAACTGCTAGCAGTTTACTCTACCGTCCGACATTTCAGGCACGTCTTAGAAGGTACTTCTTTCGTTAACTTCACCGATCATAAGTCGCTTATTTACGCCTTTCGAAATCAATCAGCTTGACACTCACCACGTGAGGTTCGTCAGCTGGATTTCGTGGCTCAATTTTATACTGACCTCCAACACATCTCAGGTCAGAATAACGTCGTTGCTGACGCTCTTTCGCGCGTCTCCGTAATCCACACCGCTGGCCAGGCAATCGACTTGTCAGCCATGACTACCGCGCAACTAAACGACACTGACTGTCAGAAAGTGAAACAAGATTCTTCGCTACGAATCACACCGCATCCACTGCCGTCATCTGATGGCACAATCTTGTGCGGTACTTCTACTGGACGACCTCGACCAATCGTTCCAAAAACCTTTCGACGTCTAGTTTTGGACACACTTCATAACATCGCTCATCCAGGCATCCGAGCCACGATCAAGCTCATATCCGAGAGATACGTTTAGCTCGGAATGCAACGCAATTTTAATCGCTGGGCACGCGGTTGTCTAACGTGTCAGCAGGCCATGATACAGCGGCACGTGTCCGCTCCGCTTGGTCGTTTTCCGCAACTCTCAGCTCGCCTCGCCCATGTCCATCTCGACATAGTTGGACACTTGGCACCATCCAGAGCAATGGTCTACATTCTGACCATGATCGACCGATACACCCGTTGGCCCGAGGCCGTACCTATACCCGACGTATCCGCGGACACCGTAACGCGCGCTTTCGTTGAGCGCTGGGTCGCTTCACATGGCTCTCTAGCCACCGTGACTACCGACCGCGGTCCACACTTCGAATCCTCGACCTTCAACGATCTTCTCAAAGTCCTCGGATGTCAATGCATCCGGACTACTGCCTATCACCCGCAATCCAACGGCATGGTGGAACGTTTCCACCGACAGCTGAAGGCCTCATTTAGTGCTGCTAATGCAATAAGCTGGACCGAAGCACTGCCTATGATACTACTTGGTATCCGATCAGCTCTTAAAGCTGATTTGCACACGTCCAGTGCCGAAATGGTATATGGACAACCTCTACGACTACCTGGGGACTTCATTCCTGGAAACCTCAGAACATCCCGCTGCGACGCGAATTGCGCTCGGCAGTTAGCCACGAACATGCGCCATATCAAATAACCGACGTGCGAAAACAACGATGTAAATCGTTCGTTCCACAAGATTTACTGCATTGCGCTTACGTTTTCCTTCGAGTCGATAGTCTACGCAGACCACTCGAACGACCCTACGAAGGTCCACTTAAGGTTCTTAAACGTAAAGACCGCGTATTCGTTATCGACCGCCACGGTAAACTTGAAATTGTCTCTATCGACCGTCTCAAGGTTGCCCATGTGGAACCTGAGATCGACGATGACTCTCGTCCACCTTCGGACGAGTCAACGCAGCCTATGATCGACGACCCGCCTACTTCCGATGCTACGAAGCATTCTCTGACTAACACTTCCGACTCAGTTCCTGCCGATTCTGTCTTAATAAATTTTTCCTAGCGGTAATTTGGTGTTCTCCACTCATCGGAGGTTGGCCTTATATTCGCGTATTTGTTCTAAAGCGTACCGATCCTGCATCTCGCTTTAACCTCCTTCACGTTTATTCTAGCCCTCATGATATCGAGCACAACATAGAATATTTTGAATTTGGTAGTAGTATTTTATGAATTCTGGCCTTGCAATCATAGCCTTGCAATATACGACAAGTCGGAAGCATTGTTTATCACTATTTCTAATTCACTTTATTTCAAATTTTGCTCACTTATTGTCCAATGTACGAATGATTTAATTACATAACAAATCCATTAACATTGACATCCAAAGCACACCTATGTTGCTTCAATGAGGAATAACGGTCTTCGGTAACCAGTGAGGAAAGCCCTTAATATATAAGTCAGTCACGCTATTATTACACAGTACAATATTTTATTTTTCACTACTGCAATGGTTGCTTCCCACTTAGGTAACAAAAATGGTGATTGTCAAGTCACGTGAACATGTGTTTTGTACGAAGCTGTTGCACTAATGCAGAACCTGGGGATGTTCTCTAGCAGTTGAGCGGTTCTAATTATGTTACCATTCGTTAGTAGTCCTTTCTCATGCTGACTGATCGTGATGAACTCAGCGCAATGCGTTAGCGGGAGATCACACATGAGGAACGAATATCCTCACCGAAACAATTCTAGGAATAATAGTTCTAGTGTGCAGAATGACAAGCCGAAAACCCTCATTATCCGTCTGACGAGCCTAAAGTTCTGCGTTAGCAGTAATTTAGATGTGGTAGGTGAATTACACAAATATGAGTTATGCACATAAACGCGTTTAACTCATTGCGCTATCATATGCAAGATTTTAAGTGACACACTTTGTCCATTCAAAACTAATCGAAATAATGCATAAATGTCTTTTGGATCACCTTAAATGTTTGCGGCGAATGCGAATCCCAAGGCATTTCTCGTTGCAAGGGTCTATGGAATTAGTGCGAAAAACTTGTAAACTTTGCTTGACATATCAAACAGCACCGCCATGATTTTAAGGAATATAAAATTTCTGAATACTGTAATTCATTTACTTTGCACTTGTATATAAAGTCTACCATATTTAAATTTTGCTAGTCCTATTCAACCGAAATAGAAATTGTCTACCCAACTGCGCTCCATCTTTTTGTACGTGCTTATGAAATGTGATCATAAGCAAAGTGAAGACAAGTCCGCATTTTTAGTCACCGAAACTTCAGGGCTTTTAGTGCACACCTTTTTGCATGCGCGTTTTTATAATCTGTTTGCTTAAACATAACGGTCCGTGTCACAGAATCAATTTTAGTTTGATCATACCGGCCTCACTGCAGTGAAGTGAACCAATTGCTAGATATCTTTAAATGCGTACTTGAATTAAGCACATTCAAGATAATTGTTGGTGGGGAATCTAACCTATCTTACATTGGTATGGTCCAATTCGATAGCAATCCGAAGCATGTTGAATGGGTAACAACCAATAAATCTTTTCTAAGACAACCACGTTTTTGAGCGCCCAAGTGGATACAAACATACCAAAGTTTGTTTCTGGGTAAGAGGCGTTCATAAGGGCCCAAACATCTTAGTTATTCTTCTTAAGTCTGATCACTGCGGATACTAAATTCATGGCTGTAAGTGACTCTACTGACGAATAATCAGTAATCTGTTTATTCTTAGCTTTTTGTATGGTAGAATGGTAACAACTTATAAATTAATGAAACGCACGTACCTTCCTTTTCCGGGCGTGTGATGGTTTTCTGTTTAGTCTAGATGTGTCACATGTCTACATATACATCCAAATTCCGCTTCTTCTTCTTCTCTCCACTGTAAGTCATGATATGTGGATTTCGTAAACCATTCAATTTAGATAATTCGTTTCGCCGATTTTGGGTGCAAACTGCAGAAAAGAGTGTTCCACGCAAATGGCCCCTATGTAAAAGGAGAAGAGAAAATAAACACACCTCACCCTTTATTTCTGCTACATATTATAGTAGGCTTGTAGATAAGTGTTCAAGAAGCAAATGAACGTGTATCCAACTCCACTGAGGGTTGTAAAGAGAATTATGTTACTCAATTATTTCAAAAACAGCTATTTGGGGACAAACAGAAGATCGTCCGAGAATTTCCTACTTGTCAATATAACCGAGTTATCCAGTATCCAATGTGAGTTGAAATCAACGCAAATTTGTATTGCCAGGCGTCATGGGAAGCTTGCTAATCAGATTGATATATCCAAAGTAAAGCAACAATTACTCTTTATTCATTCATAGGTTATTGCAAACGCCTCACTGTTCATTACGTGCGTGGGAAATGTTCAACTGCTATAGGAATCGTTGAGTATACATATTTCATTGTCTAATGAACTGGATAAACTTTTGGCTCATGTGATATCTGTGCAAGGCTAGAAGCGAGTAGCTTAATTGAAATCGGTACAAACCCCTTGAATGAGTATCGCTTTGCTATATTCATCAAAATGCTTAACTTTAATCTGAAACCAAGCAAAAAAGTTTAACATGACACTACTCGCATTGCTATAGAACTAGCTGCAGAAAGTTTAACCGTGGTTTTTCTGTTGCCTTGACTACATTTAAATCCGTTATCCAAAAAAAACAATGCGTGACAAGAAATCACCTAGCAAAGAGTCCATTAAATTTTGGCTGGAAACCAGACATACTATTCGTGACACCTCGAGTTAGACAACCTAGCCATATTCAACATAAATTAAGGCAAATATTTCATCTCATTAGACTTAATATATTGCCTAAAGAATAAAGGTGAATGTGTTAAGTAGCTGGTGTTATCAAGCGGGAAACTTTGCACCCTGTGACGCGTTGGCAGCTGCCATCTCTACCTGCTAAGATGAAATTAGCTCGAAACGCGTCGCTGTGTGCAGCGTTTTCAGGCGGGCAACACCCCATTCCCAACTGCTTCAATACCGCCCGAGTGATCGAACTGATTAAGGTTGGCTTTAATTTCGTGGGAGAACCGCTTGTTGAGTTGACAACCTAGTTGCAGACGTTTCGTCACTAATCGAGGTACAATCGTCACGCCTCGAGGCTTCAGTACTCTATTTGCTATGCCTCTCTCAAACACGCACTGACAATGTTACCTAGATTGATGACGAAACCTCTGCAAAAATGTTGCCAAATTGAGCAAACAGCTAAACCGCTGCCAGAATAATCTGAGCTCTAAATGTTGTGTTTTCATTCAACGCAAAGCAGCGTCCGCATTTGCTTTGCACGTCGCAATTAAATCAAACAAGATGTACTTCAAAATGGCTGCCCAGTTAGTCGTTAACCATTGTGCCAAGCATTGCCTGTCGTGATCCGGTAGCTGAAGAGTTAGAGGTCACAACTAAACCCCAGATGGTTCCAGGTTCGCGCCTGCTACCTCCTCCTTATAAGGGTAAGTAAGATTGAACGGTGTTGGGGTGTGTAATATTTGTTTTGGCATGCAACACCTCAATTTCCTCTGCTTCAGCTACGATCCTAGTTGGCCAGCATAGAATCAATTTAACAAGGCTGTGGAAACCAATGCTCATCTTCCCGATAAGAACAATACCAGTAACAGGCAGCTCATCCCCGTCTGTTTGGTACATACGTTAATGTTATCCTGGGGTTTGTCGTGGTGGTATAAGGGAGGGATGCAGCTTAGTATTGAAATAACATGAAATATAAACATAATGCTGCACCCTATAACTATTCACTTGAAGCATGGAGGCTGCAGGATCTTTTGTTAGGCGAGTAGCCTACCCTCTTTCCACTGGCTATGGCCTTAATATGTTACAGTAGACAGAAGCGAATCAGGGGTTCTGATGTGGTTAACGTTCAAAGATTCATTGGAAATAACCCCGCAGTGTTGCTGTGCCGTCCAAGTTAGGTGATAACTACTTGGAGTTCCATGCATGTAGTAAGAAAAACACATGAGAGTGAAGACTGTAGGAGCAATAATCAGAGAGATCATGTCAATAATTCAAACTAAACATTTGCAGCCATTAAAATTAATAATAATACTAATATATCCAATTCTCCTGGTGTAGCATGCTTTGTCTGCAGCTGCACTGATCAATTTGTATAGAAGTACACATGCTCTTGCATAGGTGGCATGCGTAGTTGGAATATTAGGATATACATTTCACGTAGTGAATTTCTGTAGGATGCTTAAGGCTAAAGCCTAGTTCTGCAAACAACCGTGTTTATTTATTTGAGCCGTCCTGGAATTGTTCATAGAGAAATGCTTACTTTTTGAATATAGTGAATATGACAGGTAAATCCAAGCAATTGGAGCGTCTGTTTCCAAATGTTGCCACACTGTCATATATCTAGTGTTATTGGTAGTCTATTCCACATGTAGCTGTATCTAAGTAGGAAGAAACTAGGGTGCTAATATCATATCATGGGAGTTATTTGATTCAATTGCCGGATGCCCATAAACAGGTAGAAAATATATGGATCCTTACACTGATGCAGCAGCATGACGCAAAATTAAATGTCTGTAATGAATAGCGCCGATTACTCTAATTTCATTGTCCTAGACGCAAGCAATAAGCATAAATCTCATTTGAACTCATCAGTACTTGACGTTAAATAATTGTGGTTTGTGGCAGATACAAAGTGCTTTCGCATCTGTGCTACTCGTTACACGTTAGCAGATGCTTGTCGTCAGCTAATAATAATAATACTAATAATAAAATGTATATTGCTCCGGATTCTGAGTAGCTCTATCCACAGAAGTTCGGTGGTATGTAGATTTACAACGTGCTCATGCATGCCTAGGTACCAAAGGTAGGGATTTGTGCGGTGGATGCAATGGGTACATTCTTCCTATTAATACACGGGCATCCTGAAATCTTTTGCTCCGGTGCAGATCGGGATTAACAAGGAGGCAATGGTTCCATAGAAGCAGAATGTACGTGAAAGATGTTGAGGGAATGGGACCCGTTAACCAAAATCAGACTAGTAACACACAATCACACCTAATAGCCTAGGGTTACATATCTCATTGTAGTTGTGAGTGGAAGAAACATTATGCTTCGTGCATATTTACTCGTGGCAAAGAGGAAGCTCGTATTGATACATCAATGCATATGCATTTGAGTGTTTAAGGCCTTGGGTGCGTTAGCCGAGTAGTTTAATATATTATGCCCAAAAAGAAAGTTGAGTCAAAATGAGGTGCCTGCAAATTCCTATGTATACATATCGGACACCGAAGCAAACAATAGGTTTTGTGTGCTACGGAAGTGCAGTCTTTATTGGTGAGCGCAGTGCTTTACTTACCGTTTCCACTTATAACCATGGGGATTTCTGTCTTGCGTGGCCTGGCAACAGAAGAGGCATACTTGCGGTGGAAAAAGTAAATAAACGAACGTTTGCCCAATGCCATACTAGACAAATTCGTTAGTGCTTAATCAACAAAGTGTGGTCACTGCCAAGTACCAAACATGGGGAATTTGGAAAGCTTAGAGATACCTAGGTGCTTTTTGTTATAGAGCTGGAAAGTAAGGGAAACTCATCGCACAAAACATGGAGTGACCAAGAGACTAGATTATGGGTGATATCGGTAAACAATAAGAAGGTGTACATGAAATGTCATGAGCAATAAACACAACAGATTCAAGGCAATAAGGGAATTTTGCTAGTACGATCAATCGAGTTTATATGCTCAACCGTGGGTCTGTCTCTTTGGGGCCGACTTTCATACGGGTTTATTGCTCGAGGGTGTTCACCCGCAACTGCACACCCCATCTAGTAAAGTGTCAGCCTGACTATAAAGTAGGCTAGATATCACAGATTTTAATTCTCATTTTCGGAAGCTGGCTACTCAGACCACTCAGCTGGTTCGTCATTCATCGTTGCGTATGTTGTGTGAGTACGATGAGGGAATTCACCGGAATTGGTAGTATATACAACAATCGATGCATTCAACAGTTCAGAGTGTATAGCAGTTTTTAAGTCCAGCACAATATGTTATATTCACCAGGAGGTCTTCAGCTATCAGACTTGTGCAGATAAACACACCACTTGAAAGCTTCGTTTCATCCCCTCAAGTTATCTACTAATTTGTGACCAACGAAAAAGGTCAATCGAAGCTAAAATACATTACAAAAGGGAAACCGCAACAAAGTAATTAAGTAAATCACCTCAAGTATACATAGGAGAAACCATCTGAAACTTTTGTTATACGAACTCCTTTGGGTTGGGTTTTGCACGTTCCAGTAAGTAGTGAAGACACACGGAGCATTTATAAAAACGCCAATTGGGTACATGACCACAAGTTCGCTATTTTCACAAGGATGTGCGTTTCCGAGTTTACCTAGCACCTGAAACAACAATCGTACTGACGAATGTACAGAAGCGTAAAGTGGATGCTTCTTTAATTGACTCTGATGTAAGTCTAAATGAAGATTGGGACGCACCTTGGCTGATTCAACTTGCAAACGAGATGTCACTATCCAACAAAAGTAACGCGTAACTGCCGATCTCTCATCGGTCGGCATTCTTCCACACTTGACCAATTCACCCCTCTATGGGATCCTAGAGACCGAGAAACTGGCCTGTCGGTATACGAATGCTCATGGTATTTTTAATAAACTGGCCGAAATGCTAGATCGGCAAGCTTCCAGGTCATATGATCTCATTGGTAGCACCGAAACTTGGTTGCACATGGAAATGTCGGACGCTGAAGTTTCGCTACCGGGCATGTCCCTGATCCGGAATGATAGACTCACAAAAGTAAGAGGGGTAATCTTGTATTACCGAAGCGACCTTACAGTGCAAAGCGGTAACGGATTCAGACCCGCAGTTTCACGACATTCTTTGGTACCGCATGCAATTAAAAGGCAGAGAGGTTTGCTTTATTGTGTTGGTGTACCACCCCCCAAAAACTCTACACCCGAAAATGGCTGTCACCTAGCGGCGACTTCAAGGTTCAGTTTACAACAAAGGTACACTCACATAATTATCATGGGTGATTTCAAGGCACATTGTGTTGAAATATCTGCCAAGATCGGAGAACAATTCAAAGCCGATCCAGAGGAGCTCGTAACCACTGTTCCTATTTCCAATCACGTCACTTTACCCACGGTTCAGAACGGATAACGGACTATCCGTGCTGGATGGTTTGCTTACCAAGGAGGTGCATATGATCAATGTGTTGGATTTAGACTGCATATTGTGTCGCAGTAATCCCGCAGTCAGCAGTTTCAGCTGCGTCTGCCATGCGAAATATCGGAAGGAGAACGATGTGAATATAAGACCTTCACAAGCTACGATCTATAAGCCCAGCTCGTCAGCGCTGCAACTTCACCACCTTTTGCCGAAAAACTCCCGGAAGTCGACTGACTCGATTTCGTCGCCAAATGCAGTCAGCTGATTGCAGAGGCTTCAGAGATAAGAGTTTACAGTAAGTGTACGTCGGTTCCTTTCGTTAGGAGCAGAACTGGAGAATGTACGACAATAAGCAACGCAGCAAGGCGAGTGTACGGTGAAGCTACAGCACCAGAAACTTGGGACGACTACATAGCCCAATGTAACCACTGACCTTAAATGCTAAGGTAAAACGGTCTATCAAACATGCCTCGAAAACTGTCTGCAGTGCTAATCACAAATTTCTGTACAAGCACGTCAATAGCATTCGAAATATGAGGCAAGGATTTCCTCCACTCCGTACTGCCGACGACCCAACAAGAACGGTTGTGAAAGCAGCAAACCCGCATCGGATGCAATATGTCTCCACGTTTCAGAAGGACTTGGTAGCAAGCGACCTACCAACTTTGTAATTTCTCCGTCAGGACTAACCTACATCATTTTTACCGCGGAGGCTGTATTGCAATAGCTGACGTATGTATGCAAACACATATCGCCGCAGCCCGATCCCATTCTTCTATATGCACTGGAAGCAGCAGCAAGCCGACTGGCAGGACCTTTAGCTCAGTTTTTCTAGCGCTGCTATAAACAGAATCAAGTTCCCGCTTTGTGGAAGTTTGGTATAACAACCCCGATTCACCAAAATGGAAGCAATACTGTGTCCTGCAACTACCGCCAACTATCCGTACGTCCTATACTCTCCAAGTTAATGGAATCCACCGCTACCGATGCACTGGTGTGCTATCTGGAAATCTCTAACATCATCACACCTAAGCAGCACGGCTTCCGTCCACAGCGGTCAAGTTACTTATCACACGTAGTACTTAGACCGAGTCAGCTGACGCTGAAGAAGGCGTTGATCTACCTGGAAGTTTCGAAGGTTTTCGATCTTTTAGACTATCGATGGTACTCTCCAAACTCCAACCTTAAGGGATCGGCGACCTTCTTTTAAGCTCGATTGGCAACTTTTTACTTCAACGGCAATTGGTGCTTGGAATTCGGAGTTCTTTGTCAAGTGTGGTTTGCAGCAAGGCTAAGTTCTAGGTCCACGTTTGTTCTCGGCTTTTCTTAATGAGCTTGCGTAAGGAATCACTTCAAACCTCCCAGCGTTTACTGACGATATCAAGATCTGGCGCAGGATCCAGGCAAACGTCGATCAGCATCTGATTCAGAGAGACCAAGGTACGGTATTTCAATGGTCAGCCGACATTACTACCTTTCGAAGTGACTAACTGCAATTTAATTTCCATGCGACACCGAAACACCTACTCCTGCCGCCTCTGAACGAATGTACTGCAACAAACAACTGTCGAACGTGACTTGCGTGTCCTGGTTCAAATTGCCTTGGGTTGCTCCATCCATCTGAAAAGACTTCGAAGAATGGAAACCAACACGTCGAGCTGCTGTGACTGGCATTTAGACAAGTAAACCTCACCATATTTCGACAAATACCCAGTGCGTATGTTTGTCCTCATGTGGAATACGAAATTCAAGCCTGGCATGCATGGCTGAAACACAAACTTAATGCACTGGAGCAGAAACAAGGTCCGTCACCTACGTACATAATTGGAATACGAAATCTTATATACCAGGAGAGGCTGTAACAACTAAGGATATTCAGCGGAAGCTACCGCATA